GAATGCCTGGACAATCACTGCGGTTCAGAGCTGCTGAGCTGTGCCAGGACTACGGGCTGAGGAGCTCTCTGAGGACAAGGAGAATTTTGGCCTCTAATAAATGTTCTGAGATCTGTGCACATCCAGGGAGACCCAGAAATTAAGCAGGCTGAACTTCTTACCCGCTCCATCCTTTGTGATTTGGGGAAAACTTGAAGTACAGTTTCTAAATAGGCAGCAAAGGCATGGAGGATGGTATTCCTGCGCTAAGAACAATCCGGCACATGGAAGGAGGCCTGGGTTTAAAAGCTATGTAGTTAGGCTTGGGTTTAAGCAGATATTCTAAAGCAGCTGCAAGGGGAGGAAAAAGAAAGGAAGAAACCCAGTCCTCTCACATACATTTTCTTCCATCTGTGTCTCCCAAGCTTTGTAAAAATTATTAGGAATCCTCCAGTGTGGTGAAAGTATGAAAAGGCTGAGCTCCTCAGGGAAGTCAGTATCGCTGCTGTGCACAAAACCCATATTCTGATACAGAGTTAATACCTCCAGATTCTATTTTAAGATAAAAAATAGGCATGGGGAGTCCATTCTACCATCCTTAGTTCTGCAGCTCCCATTATGTGTACTTCTACACAAATCCGTGGTGTGGCTTAGAGAGCACATCTATGCCTAGTTCAGTTTGGTAAACCTGAATCATAACAATTTCTTCCACTGGTGGCTGCAACCACAGTCTTAGGTCCAAGGAGCATCAAAAAATATACTGCCGCTTCCTAATGCTGGTGGTGGTTCCTACCAAGCAAGTTGCAGAAATAGGTGTATGTTCTCATAGTGCAGCCTGTTGGACTGCAGTGCTTTGGGAGGGGACAGGCCATGGGACAGCTCTGTGGTAGATCAGACCCCACAGGAGCCATGAGTGACACTGTGAAAAGGTCTGGGCCACTTTGCAGGAGAATAGGGATGTGAGGTGTGGGGACTGAGAGAATGGGGACAGTCAGGGCCAAACTACTAAGATGAAGTTGGGTGAGGCTGCCATGTCGAGGGAGCAGGATGGTATATCTGACTCTCACAAGAGTGTGGGGAGGCAGAGTAGCTGATGGGGAAAAGGAGAAAAATATAGGGCAACTGGTTAAATATAGGGCACTGGGTACAGTGGTCTAGCTGCAACCAGATCAGCACACAAAATACAGTGTAAGACTGCATCCTTCCAGCTGCAGATGGGACAGGAAGAGGAGTGCCAGCTTTGAGACCTGCAAAGCCATGGAGAGAAACAGAATTGGTTCCTGTTCTAAAACGTTTATTAATCACTGAATGCATGTCGTGGTTCAAGCCCAGCTGGTAACTTGGAACCACGCAGCCGCTCGCTCACTCCCCTCCCTCTTCCTTCCTCCCCCCACTCCCGGAGGGATGGGGAGGAGAATCGGAGGAATGTAACTCCCACGGGTTGAGATAACAGCTCTCCAGTAACTAAGGTATAATACAAACCACTACTGCTACCAATAATAATGATAAGAGGAATAACAAGGGGAGAGGACACAACCGCTCACCACCCGCCGACCGATACCCAGCCCAACCCGAGCAGCGATCTGGGCCTTCCGGGTAACTCTCCCCAGTTTCTATACTGGGCATGACGTGCTGTGGTATGGAATACCCCTTTGGCCAGTTTGGGTCAGGTGTCCTGTTTCTGCTTCCTCCCGGCTTCCCCTCCTCCCTGGCAGAGCATGAGACTGAGAAAGTCCTTGGTCGGAGTAAACATTACTGAGCAACAACTAAAAACATGGGTGTTATCAGCGTTGTTCCCAGACTGAAAGTCAAAATCACAGCACTGCATCAGCTACTAAGAAGGAGAAAAATGACTGAGTAGCTGAACCCAGGACAGCATACTGCCAGAATAATGCAAAAAGACGAACATTTGTTATGTTGGCATGTTGTGATACTGGAATAGATGTGGACTCCTTGTACTATTTAAATAAGTATTTATGTGGTTTTTTTCATTTCCTATCCATACTATTTTAGTGTGCTGTGATTAGTTGTACCTAACTATTCTATGATTCTATGATTTAAATACGTTAACCTGCAAGAGAAAATCTGTCCCCAGAAGTGTAGATACTGTGTTATTTCTCTTGACACTGATAATAACATTGAACAATAAGAGTTGCTACCATTAAAATACAGATATCTTGGATAAGCCATTTAACTACCCAGTGGCAAAATGCAAAATGTTCTAAGATGGATTAATTTTAGCAAGGTGTTTCTTGTATTTTGCAAGGGATTTTGGTAAGGTACTTACCGGAAGACTCAAAAATTCATTAAAGTATTCCACAAGCATATCATCTGTGGCTAAGCATTCTTCCTACAGAGAGACAAAACCACAAAGCATGCTTGTACTAGTGTGCACTAACATGGTTTGAATGCACTATGCCTCAAACAATGTTTTTTCCATGAGACATGACATGCAAACTTTTGCAAAATGTTGTTTCCCACTTTTGAGTATATAATCATTGTATCGTTATATTCTAACCATTGCACACTGCTGAGGCCCTTAGCAATTTAAAAAACACACGTGAAGGTAAATCCTTTGCCAAGAAATTTACAGATAAAGCCTTCATAAACCCAACAGCTTCTAAATGCTGGAAATCTGCATGTTTACTTATGAAAAAATGTGCGTTAAGCTAGGAGTCTAAAATTCCCCACATTAAACCTTTCTCTCTTGCAGCTGGGATAAAGAGGAGTATAAAAGTTCACTAGAGCCTGCTTCTCCTCCCACGCTGCTGCTTGGGAATGTTTTGAAGGATATTTGGGAATAAAAGGGAGGTCACTGATCTATAATTTGGCTCACCAAGCAAGCAGCGTATGCTATACTTTGAATCTGACAGAACTGGGAGGCTTCCTGTTGACCTTGTCGGAAGTAAAGACTGCATCTGCAGGTGGGTTTTGTACGCGTTTTGACCCCTGCGTTATAAATCCTACTAATCAGACTCCAAAACTGCACAGTAGAAATTAATCTTTTTTGCTACTGACAAATCACTAAGCATGGATCCCAATCTTACTTCTACTGCACTTAATACCACCCCACCCCAATTTCCATTCAACAGAAGACAAAAGTAGAACATTATTTCATTGGTCTTCAGAAATTTGTCTTCAGTATAATGAAGACTCCTAAACAGTTTGTGATAGTTTCAGATTCTTGAATATTCTGTTATTTCTGTCTCTCACCACAAGGAGAATTCACCCAAATCAAATGTATTTGCCAACATCAGCGAAGGTTTTGTGACACAAATCTTTTTTCTCTTTAAGTTCGTAGCATCAAAATGAGCTAGTGAAGAATAGCATTAAAGAGGGGTTATACACACTGTACGTGATATCACTTGTAGGCAGGCAGTATCTTGATCCAAACCCCACAGTGTCTAACCTAAATAGATTCAGTTTGTATTTGGGTAAGGAAGAAACCTTGAGCTAATGTATTTTAACATGAACTCAGGAAGGTGCCTATGTGCTGCATGACAAGTCAGAACCAGACCCAATAGTGTTTGTCTGGCCTTAGTCTGACAACGTTTATTCTTTGGCAGTTGTGGTTATGCTATGAGTGATACAGGACAGGCAAGTTAGCTCACACTCATTCCTGGAAAAAGGTGACAACACTGAAAGCAATTACAGAGATCGTGTGGTTTTTGGATCACAGGCCCATGGTCCAATGCAGTTGCAGTACCATGGACCTAGAGTTGCTAGGGCACTGATTAAATAGAAGAATTTACCAAAGTGTCTAACCCAAAGCATTTTGAAGTCAACAGAAAATCCGCTCCCTAATGTCACTAGGCAATCAGACCCAGAAATCCCAATTCAGCAAGTGTTAACATAATTAACAACAAAAAAAATCTAAACAAGCTGCAGTCTGCCTCATGTTTGGTTTGGGCAATGCACAATTAGATTTGACACTGATAAGCATGAATCTGAAGACAGCTATATATGATAATAACCCATGAAAATATTTTATTGTTTCAAAGGACTTACTCAAAACAATTCATTTATTACTGTCTGACGTATGAGCTCTTTAAGAATATACAGGTAACATGTGTTTTTAATTTGCTAAGGATATAATTCTCTGCAGACACATATAACAGCAAGAAATATAAACACAGTGGTTGATTAATCAATAAAATGTTTATGAGCTTATTAATGTAAGCTTTACTACTTACTGATCTTACTGCATCTATGCACAACATACTTTCCTCTGGTGTTTGAAGTTTTTTTGTGGTCAGTGTTATTTTCATTTGAAAGCACAGTTGCACTTTCATATTCTTATGTTATAGGTTATCAAGTCCAACCATTAACCTAACACTACCAAGTTCACCACTAAACCATGACCCTAAGTGCCACGTCTACATATCTTCTAAATACCTGCAGGGATGGTGACTCCGTCTGGAGGTATTTACCACTATAAGTAAGTAAGTTTGGAGTACTGAGTAATTTCATACTATTTTCTTAGGGGGGTTTATCCTTTTTATACTAAAATACTTAGTTTATTCTTTATTTACCGCTTCCCTGGGCAGCCTGTTCCAACCCTTTCTGTGAAGAATTTTCTCCTAAAATCCAATCTAAACCTCCCCTGACGCAACTTGAGGCCGTTTCCTCTCATCCCATAACTTGTGTCACTTCAAATAAGGTAACAGACAAACATACATACTTTTCAGCTGGGAAGGCAAACAACAGAGAAATCCTACAATGAGCTATGAGCAAAGAGCAGAAAAGGTAAAATAAGAAGATCGTTAAACCTGTCATGTTGAAACTTCCAGCTCGTTATCTCATTCCTTCATTCTATTTCACTTTCCTTTGCATTTCCATCCTTCTTCTCCATAGTTTCCTGTTACTTTTTACTTTCTAATTATTTTCAAACTAAGTAATTTTTTTCTGTCTGAGAAAATACCAAGAAATTACTCAGTACTCCATACTTACAGAGAGGAAAGAAATGAGAAATCAGACAACAGTTTCCAAAAACGTGTTTTGCTTTTTGTGTTCTACAGTTGCATGACAAAATGAATGATCTTTATAAAGCATACTTACAAACACTTCTTCTGTTATACATGGAGGCTCTGAAACACAAAAATGAAATATCATATGTTATTCGAGCAATACAGTCAAGCTTGTTCAACTACAATTACTGAACAGAAACAAAAAGTAGTCAGGCATGACAACCTTCCTGGATATTCTTAAATAAAATAACTTAGCCTGAGGAAATAAAATAAACTCTAAGAACATGCAGTTATGTCAACCCATGCATAAAAAGGATAAAAGGATAAAATAAAAATCTATCACAAGAATGATTTAAATATAATTCAAGTATTATTTAACTAGATTATTTCTCCTATGTATCAGTTAACTTCTTGTCAGCTTTGCTCTGCAAAATTGATTACTAGAATCTTGCTGGGTTTAATGAAAATTCTGTGAGACTCTGGGAGCCTTGAAAAGCAAATATTATGAATCATATGATAAAATTTACAAAAATGTGATCGTTGGTGTTCCCAAATAGTGAAATCTCACTCATTCTAGAAGAGTATTCTGTCTCTGTGATGACATCTGAAGGGAGTAAAGTTCTGTCTTGAGATTAACAAATTCTGCTGAGTTTAAACCTAGCAGTTCAAAATCCCTGACTTTTGTATCACCATTTCTGTACCTAAGACAATCACCCTGGGGTCAGACCCCGTGTCTGACATAGATTCAGTCCATCCGCCTGCGTGGGAAGCACTACGTACCAGTGGTTAGCCTCTTCGACTGCATCCTGGATTAACACACATAAGGGCCAGCACCCACACCTGCAGGATTACAACCTCATTTGCAAAGGTGAAATCCTTGACTGCAGACCAGAAATAGAAGCCACAGAGTTCCTGGGCCTGGCTGGTGAGTGCTGGTCTGCACCAGGGCAGGCTGGCTCTGCTGCATGGCTCACAGCAAAGCGGGGTTGCTATGGCACTGCAAACAATGCACAGGGTGAGCTGAGCAGTAAGCAAATACTTCTCCTGCTGATGCAAATCTCCCTGAAGCACACTTGAATATCAGGCACACTGATGTTACAGTCCCAGAAGAGTTGCCTGTGAACTAAGAATTTCAGGATGCGCGCAGCAAGAATAGAAATTAAACGCTCTTTTCTTGACTGACTTAGGGAGTTCTTAGTCCAAAATGATATTCTATCTTCTCCTACATTAGCAAAACCCTCCAGCCACATGGGATTTTGCCTTAAAACAAATCCCCAAACGTATGACTAACAACCAATGGATTTACATCATGTATCAAATAATTCTGCACCCATACAGGTACAAACGGCTCCTCTGTGGCGTGCCAGAAACACAACTTGCAGCCTTGGTAACAGCCTTCCTTGCTTCCTCCTACTGTCAAAGCCCAGACCTAGCAGAAATCCAAAGGCAGCTACATGTTCCCCCAATATCCCCCCATTTTTTCTATTAGAGAAAAGTTTATAATTAGACTAGGCAGAAGGAGAAAGGCATTAAAAGACATAGAATGGAGTCTACTCCCAGAATGTTAGTTTCTTCGTTGGCTTGACGGGGTGCTTCAGGATATAAAAAGTCACATTTCTGTTATTTAGCAAAAGCTAAATACAGAGAAGGAATTCAGGCTCCTATATGAGGATTTCAGTGGAATTTAGGTGTTCTACAAGTGGGATCTGAAAAACACCCTACCTAGCAAGTATCTGATCCTAGAATTGCATAAATTCTTCAGGCTTTCTAGCATGCAATTTCTCTCAAAGATTCTGTTCTATTGTGATTATGAAATATTTCGAATAGGTATACTTAATGTATATGAAAGAGGAATAGCATGACAAGATAGCCCATAAAATGTGAAGTTAACCCTTTCCAACAAGTAGAATTTCCCACATTGTATATGAGACTGCATTGTCTCATAACCAGGCTACTTAATATGACTTCAAATGTTTAAGCTAATGTTCATATACATTGGTGTATAACATTCTCCTAAACTTCCCTAGCTGCTTGTAATTCCTGATGAAAAAAAAAAAAACAGAAACATGGTGAATGCGTTTTGGGTTTTTTTATTAATCAGAAGTGAAAGCCACAAGTCCGCTTAGGTAGAATTCAAGTTTGGAAATGAGTCAATTAAAAAAAAAAAAAAAAAGTCCTTTTTCTCTCCTGTCACTTGGTATATTTTAGTATAAAACTCTTAGGTCTTTGTTTTCTTCATAGTGTGCTTCAAAGATTGCATTTTACATTAAGCTCATCAGGAAATACTGTATTCTCTCATGAAGAATCAATTAGCAGTTGTTATCATTTTCTCATTATCTTAGTTAACAACATAGATTTTAGTCAAGAACTGGGTGTGTGTGCATTTCAGTCTTGATTTTATATTGCCAGTTAAAAGTTCACCAGCTGGTGAAGCTGATATAAAGATATAAAGACTAAGATATAAAGATATAAAGATTAAGCTGATTTTCCCTCTTTTCCACATTTTTCTCTTACCATGCTCTTATTTTCATGTTGATTATTATTTAACTTAGCAGAACTGCAGACCTAGAGAACGTTTCATAAATATAGTCAAAGCCATGATCTATCCCAAAAAGCATCTCATCTTTTAGAAAAGATGAATGGCTAGGTGTGGTGGAGAATAAGCTCTAAAAAAGGTGACACCAGTAAAATTCTAGACAAGAGAAAGTAAAAGACAAGAAGTAAGTTTCAAATTATTAGCAGAAGGCCAGAATATGAAGAGATCTGCACAGGAAAACAAATGGGAGGAAAACATAGATTGGTCCTCTCCGTTCCTGCTGGCATCTCCCTTCTCCCATCATTACTAAAGAGCATTTAGAAAGGTGAACTTTCAGTGAAGACTTTACTCTGTCATTGTCCCTTTCCCCCACATTTCTCAGAAATTTAGGCTTTCAGCAATTTACCAAGGAAAGTATCACTCAGACAAATCAGATCAGAACGGCGGGGACAACTTTGTGCTCAGAGAAACAAGCATGTCAGCTATGCCAGACTGCTGGGTGAACAAGTCTCCTTGTGACTTGTTCAGTAAAGACATAAATTGGATAGCTTTATTAAATCCGAATGTGCACTTGTGTTTTCAGGTGCTAACCTGTGTTTGATTCCTGGCTGTGGTCACAGTGAAGTCATGAACATCCCCATAATTAATTACTCATTCAAAAAAGTGGCAAATACAATTTAAAAAAAGGCAGATAGTCATTCTAGAAGGATCTCAAAGGGCAGTTATGACCTAGTTCCCATCAATTTTCAGTGGAAATGCCCCATCTCAGATATAGGTGGGCATTTTGTCATGTGATATGTTTAATACCTAAATATCTTTATAGAAACCCATCTTAGTTAAATGTAACTACTATTTCTTCTTTGGATGATTGCCACGTACATTTTAGCTTTTGCATCTGAAAGGAGCAATCTCATAAACTGGAAACAGGTGCTAGGAAACCTATTTTAATATTGACTGCAGAATTGCCAAAATAGGAGTCAGACCCTGTGTCGTGGTTTAAGCCCAGCCGGTAACTTGGAACCACGCAGCCACTCACTCACTACCCCCCTTCTTCCTCCCCCTGCTCCCAGACGGATGGAGAGGAGAATTGGAGGAATGTAACTCCCACGGGTTGAGATAACAGCACTCCAGTAACTAAGGTATAATACAAACCACTACTGCTACCACCAATAATGATAAGGGAAATAACAAGGGGAGAGGACACAACCGCTCACGACCCGCCGACCGATACCCAGCCCAACCCGAGCAGCGATCTGGGCCTTCCGGGTAACTCCCCCCAGTTTCTATACTGGGCATGACGTGCTGTGGTATGGAATACCTCTTTGGCCAGTTTGGGTCAGGTGTCCTGTTTCTGCTTCCTCCCGGCTTCCCCTCCTCCCTGGCAGAGCATGAGACTGAGAAAGTCCTTGGTCGGAGCAACAACATTACTGAGCAACAACTGAAAACAGGGGTGTTATCAGCATTGTTCCCAGACTGAAAGTCAAAATCACAGCACTGCATCAGCTACTAAGAAGGAGAAAAAGAATGACTGCTGTAGCTGAACCCAGGACACCCTGACAGGAAAACACAAATCGATTGTCAGGTAACTGACCCTTAAGTTCCTTATTCTGTTGGCAAACGGCAACAAAATGGCAGAAGCTGCCTGTTGTGGTGGTACAACCTCTGTGTTGAATCTGATAGTTCTAGTTTACAGCACAGTTTAATGCTACTCTGTGGCTGTCAGAAGTTAATTCAGACACCCAAGGAAACAGCTATTGGGAATATGAGCACTCAAAAGAATTCTGAGAGAAGAAAAAAACCAAAACATTCCTGAAGGTAGTATAGGAAAATCAGAAGGGCCAATATCATTCTGGCTTGTACCAGAAACAGAGTGGCCAGCAGGACTAAGGAAAGCGCTTGTCCCACTGTTATCAGCATTGCATTTTTTGGCCTTTCACGACATGAAAGACATTGAGGTGATGGAAGTGTGTCCAGAGAAGAAAAACAAAGCTGGTGAAGTGTCTAGAGCACAAGCCTTATAAGGAGTGGCTGTGGGAACTGGGGTTGTTTAGCCTGGAGAAAAGGAGGCTCAGGGGGGACCTTATTGCTTTCTACAACTACCTGAAAGGAGGTTGTAGCAAGGTGGGCATCAGTCTCTTCTCCCAAGTAACAAGTGATAGAACAAGAGGAAACGGCCTCAAGTTGCATCAGGGTACATTTAGATTGTATATTAGGAAAAATTTCTTCACAGAAAGGGTTTTCAGGCATTGGAACAGGCTGTCCAGAGAAGTGGTGGGGTCACCATCTCTGGAGGTATTTAAAAGTCATGTAGATGTGGCACTTGGGGATATGGTTTAGTGGAGGACCTGGCAGTGCTAGGGTAAGAGTTGGATTTGGTCTTAAAGGTCTTTTCCAACCTAAATGATTTTATGATTCTAAAATAGTAAAGGAAGAGATGTGACAAAGCTTTAGTCTGTCAACATCAGAAACTTTTTACTAGTGCAGGAGGCTGTCAGAGGGAAGGCAAGTCTAAAGAGCTAGACCTCTACAGAAGTCTCTACTTGGATAGTCACTGGAGAATATTCCTTGACTTGTCCATGTCACCAACAACCCAAGGATTCCTATATTAGTCCTATTCTACCAGGACAAGGTAGAGGTTTTAAGTTTAAAGGCTTTTAGAGATTTTAAACTTTAAAGATTTTATATAAAGTCTTATTTCTCTTTGCTTAGTATAAGTCTTAGAAAATTTAAAGGGAATATGAGGCACACCTGGAAAGTGAATCAGATTTGGAAGGACCACTTAGCAATTTGTGATATACCTACCTGCAGTCATCTGATCCCTTCACAGATTTGTGTAAGTGTCCTAAGAAATAACTGCTGGAACTCTGGAAGAGTATCACACTACATTTTCTGAGTTTGGAAAAGCGCATTAAGACTTAATTGAAAAAACTATTCAGCAAGATTGTGGTAGCTTGAAGAAGTGTATCAGGAATAAAGTCATTCTATGAAGACAATATGAAAATTAGGAAAGAACTTCAAGACCCACAGCTATCAAACCACAGACAAGATAAAAGAACTTCCATAGGCTTACAGCAAGGCGGACAGAGATTTTTCCTAGCAGCCTGTTACAGTTAATATAGCATAGCTTTCAAATGGAACAGAAGACACAGATCAGAAGAAACTATGACAGTTATTTCCCACAGAGATTTTACTGTCAGGGGATGTATCAGAAATTTTGGCACTATGTACAAAAGATTGTGTTGTCACTGTCTATCCTAAATTTTTCATGT